ACGACGATACACGACACCACACCATACGTCACGACGCCACACCACACAACACGTCACGACGCCACACGTCACTACACCACACCACACGACTTGATGCCACATCACACCACATGACGCCGCACCACACCAAAAACAAACTCAAACCCTGAAAACTAGCCTAAAAATTTTAAATCCGGCGCTATGAAATTGCATAGCTTTTAACAAACAGTATCTTACCGAACAAAGTAGTATCATAAAATGAATAAAGAGTGCGCTAAAAAATGAAACAACGATAAAAATAGAGAATCGCATTTTTATGAAAAAAAAACAAGTGAAGAAGGAGAAGCACAAACGTAAGTAAGAAAGAATAGAGTCCCTAACTTACCTATGTTCACTAAATTAACTCACCTACCTATGTTCAATTAGCTCAACTTACGAATTAATCCTACCTATCTGTACAATTACAAAGAAAAAAGCAAGGAAAAGAGATTAAAACATCAGGCAAACAAAACAACGAATATATGTATGTATGTATGTATGTATGCGTGTGTGTGTGTGTGTGTGTGTGTGTGTGAGTGTGTGTGTGTGTGTGTGTGTGTGAGTGTGTATGTATGACCGCGCAATAATAATAATAAAATAAACGAACAATTCTAGAAATAATAAGTAACGAATAAAATAAACGAATAAACCTAGAAATAATAAGTAACGAATAAAATAAACGAACAAATCTAGTAATGATAAGTAACGAATGGTCTAGAAATAATAAACAACTTAACCAAACTTAACTAAAATATAACGAAAATAATATTGTGTTGATTGTTGTTTGATTGCTGCTGTTGGTGTTGTGTTGAACAAAACAATGCAATACAATAGAAATAAACTAGAACGTAAGAAAGAAAGAAAGAATAGAGTCCCTAACTTACCTATGTTCACTAAATTAACTCACCTACCTATGTTCAATTAGCTCAACTTACGAATTAATCCTACCTATCTGTACAATTACAAAGAAAAAAGTAAAGAAAAGAGAAAAAACATCAAGCAAACAAAACAACGAATATATGTATGTGTGTGTTTGAGTGTGTGTGTGTGTATGTGTGTGTGTGTATGTATGTATGACCACGCAATAATAAAAATAAAATGAACGAACAAATCTAGGATTAATAAGTAACGAATAAAATAAACGAATCTAGAAATAATAATTAACGAACGGTCTAGAAATAATAAACAACTTAACTAAACTTAACTAAAATATAACGAAAATAATATTGTGTTGTTGTGTTTGATTGCCGTTGTTGGTGTTGTGTTTAACAAAAAACAATACAAAACAATACAATACAAATAAACTAGAACGTAAGAAAGAAAGAATAGTGTCCCTAACTTACCTATGTTCATTAAATTAACTCACCTACCTATGTTCAATTAGCTCAACTTACGAATTAATTCTACCTATCAGTACAATTACGAAGAACAAAGTAAAGAAAAGAGAATAAAACATCAAGCAAACAAAACAACGAATATATGTATGTATGTGTGTGTTTGTGTGTGTGTATGTATGACCGCGCAATAATAAAAATAAAATGAACGAACAATTCTAGAAATAATAAGTAACGAATAAAATAAACGAATAAACCTAGAAATAATAAGTAACGAATAAAATCAACGAATAAATCTAGTAATAATAAGTAACGAATACGTCTAGAAATAATAAACAACTTAACCAAACTTAACTAAAATATAACGAAAATAATATTGTGTTGATTGTTGTTTGATTGCTGCTGTTGGTGTTGTGTTGAACAAAACAATACAATACAATAGAAATAAACTAGAACGTAAGAAAGAAAGAAAGAATAGAGTCCCTAACTTACCTATGTTCACTAAATTAACTCACCTACCTATGTTCAATTAGCTCAACTTACGAATTAATCCTACCTATTTGTACAATTACGAAGAAAAAAGTAAGGATAAGAGAATAAAACATCAAGCAAACAAAACAACGAATATATGTATGTGTGTGTTTGTGTGTGTGTGTGTGTGTGTGTGTGTGTATGTATGTATGTATGACCACGCAATAATAAAAATAAAATGAACGAACAAATCTAGGATTAATAAGTAACGAATAAAATAAACGAATCTAGAAATAATAATTAACGAACGGTCTAGAAATAATAAACAACTTAACTAAACTTAACTAAAATATAACGAAAATAATATTGTGTTGTTGTGTTTGATTGCCGTTGTTGGTGTTGTGTTTAACAAAAAACAATACAAAACAATACAATACAAATAAACTAGAACGTAAGAAAGAAAGAATAGTGTCCCTAACTTACCTATGTTCATTAAATTAACTCACCTACCTATGTTCAATTAGCTCAACTTACGAATTAATTCTACCTATCAGTACAATTACGAAGAACAAAGTAAAGAAAAGAGAATAAAACATCAAGCAAACAAAACAACGAATATATGTATGTATGTGTGTGTTTGTGTGTGTGTATGTATGACCGCGCAATAATAAAAATAAAATGAACGAACAATTCTAGAAATAATAAGTAACGAATAAAATAAACGAATAAACCTAGAAATAATAAGTAACGAATAAAATCAACGAATAAATCTAGTAATAATAAACAACTTAACTAAAAAATAAAATAAGGAAATAAAAAAAGGGACCAGGCGCTAAGGGAATGCCGCAGAGCGCCCGGTCGGATTTCAACTCATTTTCGGCTCCTATTTATACCAGTTCCATTCATATATTCTTATCATTTCAATCATTGACATCATTAAAAAACTTTAATTAATGTATAGGAAACATTATTATATGTGTTTACTAACATTTTATTAACTATACTAAAATGAATTCAACGACCGCCTACGAACTTCCTGATGGGAAGGTTCGTGTGTGTGTATACGTTTAGCTAGTTGAATTCAAATTTAATCGAGATCACTCCTTTTTTTACATAAAAATGAAAAAATGTATTTCTTTTACTTCATTTCTTTTATATATTATACTTACAATCAATTCAATCATTAACATCTGTAAAAATTTTATTGTTTCAATGTTATTGATTTTAGATTTTATGTAATACACTAATATACATTCTTGACAACAGAACTACTCAAACTTCGAAACATTCTGATTGACTGATCGGTTGGAACCGCTGTATTTCTTTTTAGATAAACATATAATCTTGGTAATTATTTGTATACATAAATTCTAAATTCTTTATATATATATTTTATATAACTTCATTATAAAACCAACAGAAATTAATGTTACATGTGTATGTACATATGTATGTACCTGCGCGGTTCAAATCTAATTATTCCGAGAGAATTCAAAATAATTTGACTCCACACACCTTACTTCACTTTAATTGTAAAATTTAAATGTATAAATATATATATATATATATATATATATATATATATATATATATATATATTTATTTATTTAATAACTACACATTTCTATCTATTTATAGGAATCGAATACAATGTTTATTCCGGCTAACGTACTGTGAAACTACTTTTAATATGACGTCATTTCCCCAAACGGTTTCGTTCCGAATTACCAATCCCGTTTCAATAATACTTATCTTTCAATAAATCTTAAAAACAAAGTGATTTAATAAAATTTAAAAAACTTCCTTCGTATGTTGGTTGATCGTACGATCATCATGTACGTGCTTATGTAGCTTATGTATGTGTGTATGTGCGCGTGCGTGTGCGTGCAAGTATAAGTAATGTAAGTAGGTGTAATTATACGAACTCGTTGAATAAGTATTATTACTGCATGGCTACTGACCTTTTTACTATTGCTATTATTAATTTCATTACTATATCAGCGTCAAATTAAAAAATCGTGCTATACTGTGTGTTCGGTGATACACAGGTAATGATAACAATTCAGTCGAATCATGATACTATATATCGAAAACATCAAGATTTCGAGCGGTCCGGCCAATATTAGTGCCGACCGTTTTCTGTAGACCTACTCGTAGAGGGTTCGATTGCGAGCCGAGCCGAGCAAGTGCAATTATAGCTTGAAGTTCACTCGAATTTAAGTTGAAATTTGTCGAAATTAATTGAAACAAGTCAAAATGTGAATTATTTTCGAACATTCATTAATAGACTGTTGATTGAACGACAGCATTGTGAGAACAATTTTTAACTGCGTGATAGACATT